CCTCAACGAACACCTCAGTAGATTGAAACTAAGAAGAAACGGCGAATGCAGATTCTGTGGGGAAGATGGGGAAACACCAGTACACCTCATCACTGAGTGCGCCGAGATGACAACCATTCGTGCCATGAATTTTGGTACGACTGATATTGGAGATGGAGAACTACCCTCTATAAAACCGTCCCAGATACTGGCTTTTGTCAAAGCCCTGGGACTGTATGATGAGTTATGATTCAAGAAAGGGGGACACAATGGATCTGTAAGGTCGAAGTGATTAACCCCCCTCCCACTCATTCTAAATTCTAAAAAAATTCTAGGCTTAAATTTAAAATAACAATAATATAAACGATTTTATAACAAACGGAAATAATTATTTTTTTCTGATTTCCCTGTTTAATATCCAATCAGTTCATTTAGACAGGTTAAATGGTCAAATGTATCGACTTTCTTTAACCTAGAAATCAAATTTTAGATTTCAATACGCCGAATGAATTTATGATTTAACTAATGTCCTTTAGTTATTCAGCGTGAGTTAGTTCTGGGAGTTCACTGATAGCTACGAGAATTGCATCGCAAGTCTTTCAAAAATTTGAATTTCTAATAAGTGGGACAATTGCAAGAACGGTAAACTTATTAGGTTAATAATTCTTATTAGGTTAATAATTCTTATTAGGTTAACAATTCTTATATCCCGCAATGCAGTTCTCGTAGCCATCTATCAGTGAACTCCCAGAACTAACTCACGGTGAATAACCAGTTTTACACATGTTTTATTTTTTATCTCGAAAACTATTAAGGTACATTCAGGCTGAGAGCGTCGAGCGTCGCGTCGCGATTGCGTCGCGTCCGCGTGTCGAAATGGAATCAATTCACTTTACTTAAATTAGACCGTTAAGGCAGACAGCGTCGCGTTTGACGTTGCGCTAGCGTCCGCTGAGCGTCGGGGTCGAGTTCAATGGGGCGGACACGATGCAAACGCGTCGCGACGCTTGACGCTCTCAACCTGAATGTACCTTTAGAGATTGGTATAGGTTAATAGAATAGAAAAATTTTCTATTCTGGAAATTGTTTCGAAAAATGTAATAATATACCGTGTGTTCCATTTAAAGTTACAAAGATTCTACCAGGTTTAGTATAAAGCGGCAACACTGTAATGCGGAAAATATCTTAAGGTGCGTATTCATTATCCGAACGAACGAACGAACGAACGAATGAAAGTGCGGTATATTTAGACGGGGACCGAACGCATGCGGCCGTTCGTTCGTTCGTTCGCTCGACCATCCGTTTCGAGTCGGTACATCAAAGGCGTTCGCCAGCAAATGCCTCCGGTCTTCTCGTGCGGTCCTATCGTGCGGTCCCCGTCCATACCACTAGCGAACATTCGTTCGTTCGTTCGTGCGGATAATGAATACGCACCTTTAGACAGATGGAGCAGGCAGTGCCTTTATGCAAAAATCTAAATTGTCAAACAAGTCCTATCACAGGTCCTCCATAAACATCTGACGTGCCATGGCCGTGAATGACTCTGTATACAGGGTGCTACAAATTCGAGGTACGAGCATTGGTATCTCGGAAACCGTAATAGATACGAAGATGGTTAAATTGGGGCAAAGTTGCTCCTTGGCATGTTCACCAAGATGCCATCAAAAAAGTTTTAAAAATTTCGAAGATTGATGAGTTTTTTGGAAAAAACGGATTTTTTTAAAAATCAATTTTATTTTTTCCTGTCGTTACTTTTTAGAAAATCAAAAAACTAATTGCACATTCTCATAGCCACATTATTAGGGTTACCTGATGGTATTTTTAGATTTTCAAATTAGCTGATAATTTGTGAGATACAGAGGCCAACTTAATATTTTTAAATACGGACCTGCATTTTTTATTTCAGATTTTGTAAGAACTCGATCTCCTGAGTACAATGATATGCAACACTTGATACTTCTTATTTTGTTTTGGGTACCTTAACAGTAACAAAACTATTTAACGGTTATTTAAAATAATTTGAAGTCCGTCTCTGGGTTTTTAATTTATTTAATTTGATTATATTCAGCACAACAATATTGATCAGCGCTAATTAACATTGAATAAGGAAAATCACGCCAATTGAAAGATTCAAATAATTAATATCCAGGTCAGCAATTTAAAGATATCTTATTTTTAATTTTTTTATTGTAAATTTGAAATCTCAGTGTACGATCTAATAATATGCACAATATTAATCGTAGCTATTATAAATAAATCAACTTCTACAAACTAGTTTTTAATGCTCCGCATGTTCGAAAGGGTTACCAATTACCACCCTCCATAATACACACATTTGTTTTTTGTTTAATCTTATTTATAGTTCTTTAAACAGATCTTCTTCTTATACTTCCGAATGCATTTTGCACTCTTTAATTGTTTTTTATTACTCGTTAATTGTTTTTGTACTCTTAATGTTGAAATGTATTGATTTCAAATATCCAAAACAATTTCTATTGATTTCCCTTATTCAATGTTAATTAGCGCTGATCAATATTGTTGTGATGAATATAATCAGATTAAATAAATTAAAAAACCAGAGCCGGATTTGAAATTATTTTAAATAACAATTAAACAGTTTTGTTATTGTTAAGGTACCCAAAACAAAAAAAAACTATCAAATGTGGCATATCATTGTACTCAGGAGACCGAGTTCTTTCAAAACCTGAAATAAAAAACGCAGGTCCGTATTTAAAAAAAATAAATTGGCCTCTGTATCTCACAAATTATGAGCTAATTTATAAATCTAAAAATACCATCAGATAGTTCTAATAAAGTGGCTATGAGAATATGCAATTAGTTTTTTGATTTTCTAAAAAGTAACGACAGGAAAAAATAAAATTGATTTTCAAAAAAATCCGTTTTTCCCGTTTTTTCCAAATCCAAATTTTTAAAATTTGATGGCATCTTGGTGAACATGCCAAGGAGCAACTTTGCTCCAATTTAACCATCTTCGTATCTATTACGGTTTCCGAGATACCAATGCTCGTACCTCGAATTTGCAGCATCTTGATATATATTTTTTTAAAGAGGAGTCATATATGTATCAGTTCTCTCAAAACTTTTTCAATGCTAATTTTTTGCTTCTCAAATACATTCGTGGAAAAAATATTACGCGTTCAGAAAAACCCACAATAATAATTATTGTTGTTTTCGGACACGGAGCCATTATTTAAAATGGGCACAAATATGGACAGGGACCAATTTTTTGATAAAAATAAAGCAGGGATTGCCGCAATAAACATTATTAATCTTTTTCCAATTTTGCAATCCGCCAAAAAATAAACCCGGAAAATAGTAATTTTTATTTGGAGAGAAAAAAAGCAGAAAAAAAACACTTTTTTAATTTCAAAAATCGTTTATTTGACAGAACTGGTTCATTAACAAAAAAAACCTTATTCCAAAAAACAACAATCCAATTATATACTCTATTTTCCGTTTGCACTCGTTTTTTAAACCAAATGGTTTTGAAAAATCCCCAAAACTTTTTAAAATAATTTTCCTCTCCTCTATTTCTAACACAAATAAAATTATGTAGATTTCCAAACATCCCATAAAATATACACATTAAAAAAATACTTAAATTTAATATAAATAATATTTTCGATTACAGTATTTCATTAAAATATAGAACTGGAATTAATTCTAAAATTCGTATATACACTTAAAATTATCTATTTTTACGTATTTTCTTCTTTTTACTTCTTTTATATACAACACTTTCTATATTTACACTTTCCTAGATTGCTCATAACTTTTTTAGTTTTTACGTATATGATATATAAAAAAAACAGTAACAATATCACGTATCTTAACATTTTTCCTCTCAAGAAAGTAAGTAATGATAAACAGCATTACCTGATGGTATTTTTAGATTGAATTTTCTCTAAGTTTATTTATTTATTTGAATTTTTTTATATTTTCAATATCGATAACAATTACAGTTGGGGTTGAAACCTGGCGATCCAACAGCAAAATAAAACACTAATTTACCACAGTACACCCCTCTTACTTTTGCACTGGACGCGCGTTTCGCTAACCATGTTACCATCATAAGCAGATCTAATATCTACAAACTGAGCGTTTATACCGGGTGCGTCTCAAAAGTGGTTCACCCCTATAACTTTTTTATTTTTTTTTCAGATAAAAAAACGAGGTTTGATGTGCTAGTATATAACATAAATTAGGATGGATTGACGTATTCGATTGTTTTCGGTCACTTCCTGTTTCACCGGAAATGACTACAATTTTTTATTTTTAAATGGCACCCTCGACATATACTTTAACAGTATTATTTACTTTATTCGATAGAAAATGACACTCTGCCATGTTTGCATATGGTTTATTTGAAATTGTAATATGGCGGTTAATAACAAAAAAATATGACTCGAAATATCAAGTATGTAGTACCAAACTATTCGCAAAGAAGCGCCTTTCCTAAATATGCTTCTGAGCCACCCTGTTTCATTTGAAAAACATTGAGATATGATTAAAAATACGATTTAGGCATCTTTTAACCGGCCAGGACAAGACACTAAAAACATGAGACGTATATTTTTTGAAGGCTCCTTGTTTAAAAATTGCTGTTTTTACCACAGCCATGGCAGTCTAGATTGAAATTTAAAACGCAATTTTTTTTTAAATGAAATTAAGTAAAAAAATACCGAGGTTGCCATTTAAAAATCAAAAGTTGCAGTCATTTCCGGTGAAACAGGAAGTGACCGAAAAAAATTGAGTCATATACCAAATCTTGTTTTATATAGTTGGTTAGGATAGGTTAGGGCAAATGGTATACACTCGCTCAGTTGGCACCGAGTAGGCGTGGAAAAAACTAGTCGATGTCAGGGTGCAGCCACACTATCCTAAAAACGGCGTATCGGCGTAACGGCGTAATGACCTTGAATAGATTTCCAGTAATTCTATTGGCTGAAACATTCATCTGTCAGAAATTTTATCTGTCAAATTCATCTGTCAAAAATTTCAGCCAATAGAATTACTGGAAATCGATTCAAGGTCGTTACGCCGTTACGCCGATACGCCGTTTTTGGGATAGTGTGGCTGCACCAAGTGTGTTTTCAACCTCATTCTGTCTCTTTGTGAAAAATACTGGATTTTTAATGAATCCGTTATACATATAGCCCTCCTACAAGCAAAGGTTTTTTTTCCAAGAAAACACGTAAAATAAAAATTAAAAATGCAATAAAGCAAAATCTCCAAAGCCTTAACCCAAATAAACAAATGTGGTTTTGTCAAATGGAATTTTGAAAGTCGAGAAATGACGTATTATGAATTTTCAAATGTTACAATTCTGAATTATTACACAGAAAAAAAAACATTATATTATTATATCAATAGTAAAAAAACTATAAATTTTTAAATTAAAAGTATGGAGAATAATAGAAAATTCCAATAGTCAAACAGAGGTCAAAATTATAAAATACGATCACAAAACAAATTAAAAACTTATTTTTTTTAAAAGGTTATATCTATCACAATACCCTCAAAATCAGCCGAGCGTAACAATTAATTTCCGAAACTAGAGCAGTAGGAACAGGGAACTGAAAGGAATTGGACCATTGTCTCTGTTCATACTATCTTTACATTTATTAATTGTGACGCTCTCATATGCATCAAATTGTCTGCAATTTGAGACTTGTTTAATTAAATTTAAATTATCAGTATCTATACAATGTTCTTTTTCAGCAATATGTTGAGCAACGCAATATAATTTATCCGGTTTACCACATCTTATCTGAGCTATATGTTCTTTAGATCCAGTTAATACTGATCTAGTTTGTCCTACATATTTCTGATTACAATCTGTACATTAACTCTTAATTTGTAGATATTGGCTTAGTTTTAATCATGTGATGCTAACATGGTTAAGAAAATGCGCGTCCAGTGCAAAAGTAAAATTGGTGTATTGTTGTAAATTGGTGTTTTATTTTGCCGTCAATATCAATTAACAAAGAGGTGTTAATTTAGAAAAAAAATCAATTAACAAAATCTGTGTAATGTAAATGCTTAAAATATAATAATAGTTAAAAAATAAGTTGCCTTACCTCAGTTTTCAATAAAAGAACACTGGAATCTCAATACAATAGAGAGACTTTCGACGTATCTTGTGATGGAAATCAATAATCTTTAGAGAAAATATAATAGAAAATGTTCGCAGTCTATAACAGAATTTTTGTTATCTTTATACGAGACATATTGACCGCACAAAAAACGATATTCTTCGAAAACGAATTTCGTCCATTTTCGAAAAAGTTTCCCTTATTGGGTTTCTTCGAAAAACTATCTATAATTCTCTTGGTCATAAACTTACGACTTATTTTATTACAATTGGACAAATATTTCTCAATAGTTTGGTTTTACTTGAATAGAAATTATTTACAGATGAGATGGGTGGCGTGTAAAAAATGGTCATGGAGCTATTAGAGTCACTGTAATACTCAGGAATATCACTGCGAATGGGTACTCAAGTCTAAGCTGTCCTCCATGTTGCATAGCTGCTGGATGCTCACCTGCAAAAAGAAATAAATTTTCTCAGTTACTTGTTTTGCCTATTACTTTACATGTATTCAGGTCTTCCAAAAAATAGTGAACACAATAAAAAAGTTCAGAAAATTTCATGGTTTTCTGAAATATTTATTTTGATAACTATGAGGTAGTAAAAACTCTAAATGTAGAAGTTGTAAGGTTTTACCTGAGCAGCAAAAAAGTGAAATAAAAATAATACAACAAAGGACAGAAAGATCAGAAAGCTAAGAAAAAATACAGTTTACTTTTTCTTGGATTCACTGTTTTAATTAAACACCCTGTATATTTTAATTTATTTGTGAAAGATTTTATTCTTCCGACTTTAAATATATACAGGGTAAGTCTTAAATAAGTGCAAATATTAGTAGGGGTAATATATTTCGACCCCAGAAACACGATTATGATTATTATTTTTTTCGCAAAAAAAAATTTTTTTTTAGTTTTTAGTAGTTGAAATGAGTGATGAAATTGAATTTTTGAGCCCTTGTTTTTAAACATAACCTAACCTTGTTTTTAAACATTTTTCTTGGTGGTGCAATCTTTACCTTATACCATAGACTAACCTAAGTTAATAAGTTAGTTTAAGTTAGTTTAGTAACCTAAGTTAGTTAAAGTTAGTTTAAGTTAGTAACCTAAGTTAATAAGTTAGTTTAAGTTAGTTTGTGCTTTTACCTACTACCATACTAACCATACTTGAACCATAGCAATAATGACCTATGTTCCTGAATCTACGTTATTTAATTAATCAACAATGATTGCCTAAGATTTTCGATTTTTATGACTATATGCATGGGAACAGGTCTGAAAATTACCTATTTTGGCTACTATTTTATTCTTTTCAAGGCTCCAAAAAAAGTATAGCTGATGACGAAATTTTTTTGAAAATTTCAGAATTTGTAGAAATTTTGTAATACATGTGAGATTCAGCTCTGTATAATACAGAGAATGACGTTTTAGATAGAATATTTAGATATATTCCGTTATCCTAGATAGAATATATTTATATAGATCATACCAAATAAACTTTAAGTCACGTGATTAAGCTTAACCGCTACAGCGTTGCCCACTTTTACATATTTTCTTTTAATCAAAATATTTTAGGAAACAAAAAAAAATAATTATTAATAGGTATATAAATACTTTAACTTAAGAGACATAAAGGACCATTACTACTAGTGTTGGGAAAAATCGGATGATTTTAATACTCGAGTATTGATCCTCGAGGATTCCAATAATCGGATGATCATCCGAGGAATCCTCGGTCATAAAATTTTCTCTGTATAATATCTCGATCGAAACCTGAATAATACTCGGCGCCGGATATGAGTGATTTTGCTTGCCGTTTTTAACACACAGCACACTGTTGCTATGTACTTGAATGACTTGAATAATATTGTAATAAAAATAAATAATTATTTTAAACACTTTTAATAATTTTTAATATTTTCGTGTATAATTCCATGTGGGAAATAACATTTTTATAGGTTTTGCTTTAAATTGTGCTGTTTTTGCTTCTTCAACTCCGACTTTGAGACTAATCTGACAACCTTTTCAGACCAAATGAAACCAAGTAATTCTAGGAAATACGGGCGGCTTTTTTAAAAGTGCTTGTTATTTATTGTTTATTTGTCGGCGGTCGGTCACTAAGATAAAAAATATATTTTGTATTACTTTTTAATAGCGTATTTTCACGAAAATAAACTGTAGTACCTAATAAATTGTGGTAGTATCGTGTTATTGTGCATATTTTAAGTTTTTGTGCGACATAATGTCCAGTCTTAACTCGTGTGAAGTTGGCACCCTTTTTTCAAAAAATGAACTGGAATTTGAGAGTTCTGGATAGATTTACAATAGTTCTATAGTTCTTGATAAGTTAGAAAAATAGTTCTGGTTAATTTCGGGAGATATGACATGGGGTTGCCAACTTCACGTAGCACCCTTTTTTTTATTCTGGAACAGTTCTGATAGTGGAAATATATTCTAGAACAAGAGTTCTATAGTTCCTGACTATTGATCAAAATAGTTCTATTGTATTAACCAAGTAATGAACAAAAATAAAACGGCAGCCTGCGCAGTTTAAATCGATTTTCTAGGTAAAAAATGATTTAACAAATAGTTCTAAATAGAGTTCTGAATAGCACCCCAAAAGTTCTATAAGATGTACTATTTGATTTTTAAAAAATACCAATAATTAAAAATTTAATTGATGTCCGACTCTATAGATAGACATAAAAATCGACTTTACGAAGGAAATGCAATGTTGAAAAACAGTTCTGGTTAGAGTTCTAAATAGCACCCCAAAAGTTCTATAAGTTGTACTATTTGAATTTTTAAAAATACCAATAATTACAAATTTCATTGATGCACGACTCTATAGATAGACATAAAAATCGACTTTACGAAGGAAATGCAATGTTGAAAAACAGTTCTGGTTAGAGTTCTGGATAGCACCCCAAAAGTTCTATAAGATGTACTGTTTGATTTTTTAAAAATACCAATAATTAAAAATTTAATTGATGTCCGACTCTATAGATAGACATAAAAATCGACTTTACGCGCAAAATACAATGTTGAAAAAGAGTTCTGGTTAGAGTTCTGAATACCACCCCAAAAGTTCTATAAGATGTACTATTTGATTTTTTACAAATACCTATAATTAAAAATTTACTTGATGTCCGACTCTATAGATAGACATAAAAATCGACTTTACGAAGGAAATGCAATGTTGAAAAACAGTTCTGCTTAGAGTTCTGAATAGCACCCCAAAAGTTCTATGAGATGTACTATTTGAATCTTTAAAAATACCAATAATTAAAAATTTCATTGATGCACGACTCTATAGATAGACATAAAAATCGACTTTACGCGCAAAGTACAGTGTTGAAAAAGAGTTCTGGTTAGAGTTCTGAATAGCACCTCAAAAGTTCTATAAGATGTACTATTTGATTTTTTAAAAATACCAATAATTAAAAATTTAATTGATGTCCGACTCTATAGATAGACATAAAAATCGACTTTACGCGCAAAATACAATGTTGAAAAAGAGTTCTGGTTAGAGTTCTGAATAGCACCCCAAAAGTTCTATAAGATAATTATAAACACATGGTATTTTTTAGACGCAGCCTTTCTGTAATAAATTTTCTGGCTGTTTTTATTAGGACGAATCGGCCAGTTCTTGAACAACTCGCCCTTGTATTTTGTTTGGGTGTCGAGTTACACATACACCAAATAACGATATCCAGTGTGACAAAACTAACCTAACTATTACGGAGGAAAAAATTAATATATCATGTTACATAAATATTCATTTAATTAGTTTTATTGCCACGTAATTTAGAATCAATCAGAGCCAACCAAATTTTCGATATAGTAAGTTTTATAGATGCAAAGTAATTCCATCTTTTTATAAAATTTCTGTTATTAAAAACTCTAGTCTGACTATTACTTTGCTATTACTCAATATTATTTTTTGCTCTTAATGTCAACCTCTATGAGACCTACTTTGAGAAAAAAGAAAAATGCATTCTTCATAAAAATATTGGCTTGTTCTAAAATGGTTAATTCTGTTTATACTTTTGCTAATTTCCATACCGTTTTAAAGAAATTTAAATAAAACATGAAAATATGGTTGAAAAATCCTAAAAATCGAAACGCGTTTCTGTGGTAATATAATTTCATCTTCATTCTTTGATTGTGATTGATAGAATTTTAATTAAAGCCATATTTTTTGCTGTTTTGAAATGTTAAAGAAGCACAAATCTTTTTTAGTACAATACTACGAACAGTGTGATATTTTAAAAGAGCAAAAAATATGACGTTAATCAAAATTTATAATAACCATCCATCAAAGAATTTAGTCGAAGTTGTAGTATTTATCATAGAAATGCCTTTTGATTTTTAGGACTTTTTGATTTTTAGGACAAATTAAATAATACTTCCATGTTTTTTTTTAATTTTTTCTAAAGCGGTATGGAAATTTCGAAAAGTATGAACGGGTTTAACCATTTAAGAACAAGTAAAACTTTTTATAAAAAATGCATTTTCCTCAAATCCGGGGACATACTGCATAACGTCGGGAGTCAATGAAATTTTTAAATATTAATATTTAAAAAAAAATCAATTGGCACAACTTATAGAACTTTTAGGGTGCTATCCAGAACTCTAACCAGAACTGTTTTTCAACATTGCATTTCCTTCGTAAAGTCGATTTTTATGTCTATCTATAGAGTCGTGCATCAATGAAATTTGTAATTATTGGTATTTTTAAAAATTCAAATAGTACAACTTATAGAACTTTTGGGGTGCTATTCAGAACTCTAACCAGAACTGTTTTTCAACGTTGCATTTCCTTCGTAAAGTCGATTTTTATGTCTATCTATAGAGTCGGACATCAATTAAATTTTTAATTATTGGTATTTTTTAAAAATCAAATAGTACATCTTATAGAACTTTTGGGGTGCTATTCAGAACTCTATTTAGAACTATTTGTTAATCATTTTTTACCTAGAAAATCGATTTAAACTGCGCAGGCTGCCGTTTTATTTTTGTTCATTACTTGGTTAATACAATAGAACTATTTTGATCAATAGTCAGGAACTATAGAACTCTTGTTCTAGAATATATTTCCACTATCAGAACTGTTCCAGAATAAAAAAGAATAAAAAAAGGGTGCTACGTGAAGTTGGCACCTCCCTGTAATATCTCCCGATATTAACCAGAACTATTTTTCTAACTTATCAAGAACTATAGAACTATTGTAAATCTATCCAGAACTCTCAAATTCCAGTTCATTTTTTGAAAAAAGGGTGCCAACTTCACACGAGTCCAGTCTTAAAGTCTATTGTTTAGGCACAGCTTAACTAATAATGGAAAAAAAATGTTAAGATGATTGTTTCGGATTTTCAACCTCTTTCTATTGTGAAAAATACTGGATTTTTAGTGAATCCGTTATACATATAGCCCTCCTACAAGCAAAGGTTTTTTT